GGACATTGTTCTCGAATTTCCCTGCAAATGTACTGACTTTGAATGAACTATTTACTTTGTTAATATTTAGTTAGTTCTCTAAATACAAGTAAATAATCATTTTTCTACCTCGATTAAAGCTTTTCTTACTGGTGTTAAGGTAGCTAATTAAAGAAATCTATCTAAATTTTCTCTTTAAAGTCAGTGAATTTGTATGGAAATCGGAGAACCATTTCCGAACTTTTTGGTGACCTTTACACAATCCAAGCTAGTGCCGAAAAGGTGAATTGGCTATCCTACTATAAGTATGACAAAAATAGTCCAACACTAGAGAAAAGCTTTGCTTTGCAATTCTAGTTGTTAAATTAACTTTTGGACTAGTACTAGATCTTTTGTAAATATACATTTTTCACTGTTATGAAATATCTGCTGTATTATTGTGTTTCTCAGGGATATGCCTCGTGCAATTGTCATTGGTATTTCTCTCATCACTGTCTGCTATTTACTCATAAATGTTGCATACATCACTGTTCTCGGCAAGAGTGGAATCCTAAAATCACCAGCAGTTGCTGTGGTGAGTAGGGAAGGTTCATCATTGTTACAGTGTGACTACTCCAACCAAKGCCACCTCAACAAATTTTCTACAAATTATTCAATAGTGTTTGAGTACTTAGACAATAGATTAGCRACAAATTTTGAATTTAGATRTTATTCTGTTGTTCAGATTCCCACTTGTGATTGGCTTATTTGTAGACAATTTATTCAGTGTCCTTGGTTGGAGTAGTTTCACTGTAATAAAACCAAAAAACAATTTTTCTTTCTACAAACTGATTTGCCCAGCATCTAAACAATGACCATTGACACCTACCAACATTCTACTGATGCCCTACCAACATCCTACCGACACCCTACCAACACTCTTCTTATGCCCTACCAACACCCTAATGACACCCTGTYACACTTTACTAATAACCTAGTGACAGTATCAACACTTTACGGACACCTAGTAACACCCTACAAGYACTCTGCTGGCATCCTATTCATATTCTTTACCATAACCAATTATCACTTTTCACTTTTCAGAGTGTTGGTAATCTTTATCTTGGACCTGTTACATGGATTGTTCCTTTGTTTGTTGCGGCATCAACTTTTGGTGCAGTCAATGGAATGGTTCTCACTAATGGAAGGTAATTTAAAGTTTATTTATTGTTCCTGGATATTGATGGGTATTTCCTRGATAATTGTATCATCTGATAAATATTTTGTCCTGTTTAGGTTGTTGTATGTTGCTGCTCGTGATGGTCTTATGCCGTCACTACTTGCTATGATCAATGTCAAGAGGTTCACACCATTACCATCTCTACTTTTTACCGTAAGTAAACAAAAAAATACTAATGCAACGGTAGGTGGTGAATTGGGTGTTTTACCACAAACGTAGAAATAGTAATATAAAATTTAAAGACCAAACTATTTACTGGCTTTCCTGGTTATAGCCACCACTTCTGAATTCATCCCAGATCTGCAACTGTAACAGTTGATGGGCATGGACAGGCATCAAGGATGTTGATGCCAGGACAATGATGCAAGCATGTTTTTGACACAGATTATCTGTGTGTCCTGTGATCCTCTTTAAAACACTTTGAAAACATGCTTGCATCATCGTCCATGAGATTGTCATCGGTGGGGGTCGATGTGCAAGGTCTTTATCGGCTGATGCTTACTAAGTAATTTTTTTCATTTCAGACATTGATTTCCATTGTGATGTTGATTCCAGACTCCAGCAAGTTTACTACTCTAGTAGATTTCTTTAGCTTTGCGGCATGGTTGTTCTATGGTGGAACATTCTTTTCTCTACTCTGGCTGAGATACAAACAGCCAAACAAACGACGACCATATAGAGTGAGTACAACCACTATCACCATTAACCTACTTGCTATTAATCAGTATAATTATGCATTTTACTCACTATCTCGCCTCTCATTGGCCAAGAGCCCTCAGCCAATCCATGATATTCCATGGACTCGACATGATAAATTCAATATCTGTAGGTTTTCAGATATTTCATTTATCATTTCAAGCTCATTCAAGGTCATAAATGGAGCTTAAAATACGTTTGCTATTTCTTTAAAAACAGAATTAAATCTTTATTGTTACAATGTAGTTTACGAAATGTATAATGAATCAATTATTGGATGAGATTGAGCATGATATCATAAACTATCAAGACCAAGACCATTTTATCTGCTATAAAGCTGTATAATGTTACTATGCTGCAAATATTATCTATTCAGACTGCAGACGTTTCCCATTTCAGACCATGTGTGATTCTTTCTTTGCGTTACATGTATATCCATATTCATGTGTCTTCTCATGTACAACCATTAAACAAAGAAATTATACTCTTGGGAATGACACATGGTCTGAAATSGGAAAACACTATGTTCAAGGTAAAAGTTCTATTTAAAAATTTGAAACATCACTTTTTTTGGACATTTTAGGTGTGGATAATTGTTCCAGTTGGCATGAGTCTTGCATCCATCTACCTAATCATTGCCCCTATCTTTGGCGATCCCATGGGTTCGCTCATTGCACTTGCTGTCATCCTTGCTGGTCTGCCGTTCTACTTCTTTTTYGTATATAGTGATTTATCACCCAAATGGCTTAACAATGGTGTTGGTAAGTTGAAAAACTAGCTGCATGACTTGAATTTTTGTGTAAATTGTGTAAAGGTTGAGATAAGTGAAACTGAAAACTGGGTCAAATTGGCATTGTAGTGCATTGTGGGAATTTACAAGTGACATTAATTTTCCAGATGGCATTTATTTTCTCCTGAAACAGACCCAAAATGCACTGCATTGCCAACTTGAMACAGTTTTTTCCCTCCAACTCTGAATGGCTAATTGTGTTTAACTGTTAAAATTTATTTATTTAATAGCTTGTGTTAGAGCATTGGTATCCATTTGTGGTTTCTTGAAGCTCAAAGGATTGTGTGATACCTATAATATATGGCAATGTGTAGTTCCAGAAGATATCCATACTCCACCCACAGAGAAAATTGGAAATTCTGGAGGGAAGGGGGATCAGAGAAAGAACATAATTACAGAGTTTGTATGGAAGAAAATTGGAAGTTTCTGGGGGTAGGGGGGTCCTTTTACAAATTCCCCCCATTGTGGGGTATGGATATATTCTGGAACTTGGGATCTTTAGACTATAAAGTTAGCTCTTCAAACCTTAACAACTTCATATTCTTTCAGATTCTTTTACAAGCTGGTGTCAAAAGGTGTTTGACCTAGCAATGACGGATCCAGAAGAAGTACCTGTACCCTTTTAAAGCTGAACTAAAGATATTAAAAAAAACTACTGCAAGTATCAAAGAAAAAGTTTTATTATCAAGGCCCTCTTTCATGATAAAGCTGGAAATTGTTTGAGCCATTGTCTCAAATGTTTACAAATAATATGTAACGCTGTGCATAGTTCTTTTAATCATAAAGCAGTGCAGTTTAGTAATTATATTTTTTGTTGAAACTAATACAACATAGGTTTTGTATGAATTTCCACATGCCTTGTGGGATTACATTCATAGGGTATTCTTCACGACAATTCATGCACCGAGTCAATCAACACCACGAACTCCAGGTACTTCCAAAAACTTCTGAAAGGAGAAGTGCTTAATTTGAAAAAAATTTTCAAGGGCACTTTTAAAGCTCTTGAAAAACAAAAATTTTCTTGCAAATTTTTTGGTAACTCCTTAAAAATTGCAGGGTACAATATTGTAAGTCGTTGCTTAAGAGCAAATATGATGGCTAATAGGATAATGGTTAATAGTAGAAAAAATTATTTTTAATACTAGTTGAAAAGTGGGAGTTTTAAAAAGTCCTTGAATCGATTCTTAGGAATACTGTATGAACCATGTTTCAATTCAGTCGTGAGTTAAATKTCATAAAATTTCCGTTTTAAAATAGCATATTGCTATTTTAGGCCCCGTCCACACGTATCCAGAAATTTTTGTATCCGCAAATTATTTTTTGCGGATACGAAAATGTTTGCGTCCACACGCAGCGTATTCGAATCGTTTTCACCGTCCACACGTATCCGTTTTCTTAAAATTTGCGGATACGGACACAAAAATTTGCGGACACGTGTGGACGGGGCCTTAGTGTTTACTACATTTATTGCAAAGAATGAAAATAATATGTGCATTATTTTACTTATAGTACACTAATCCTAGTTATCCCAGTGTTTTCGTAATTTTAGGTCATGATTAATCCTGTAGACAACATTCTATCCCTCATGAAATTAAAATGTTTAAGGTTTTGAACATATTTAAGATATTTTTCAATTYTCAGTAATGTTGACTTGGAAGTACATCTTGATTTAATCTTTTTTCTCTTCCATTAACCCTTTTTAAAATAATCAAATATTTAAAGAATTRTAATCATTCGATTCGTTCAAGATATGGCCATAAGGCTTCAGAGCTGTCTCTGTAACCTTAGCAACTTTAAGAATGGAAGCTATGATGATGCTGTGTTAACTGAAGTTGCATAGGGCAAAGAAACACACTCCTACGCTGCCGCTATTAGTGTTATCGCGCAACGCCCACTCCACCGACAACCTAATACCGGCTGCGTGGGAGACTAAAAAAACACGAGGTTCTTATAAAATGGGCTCCTCCGGGTASCAGACACAGTTTGCGTAATTCAATAGAAACAACAAAAGACCTCAAGATATATACAATAGAACAAAGYTAAYAACGAATACAATAGGTTTGCGTAAATGCAGAACACATGAAGGGCATTGAAGATTTTTTCCATTTATATTTATAATTAGGATTGTCGTAATTAATAAGGTTATTTTACTACTTATCGTWGATAAACTAGAAGAGGATAAAACTCAAGTGTGAGTGATCACACACGACACTCAACGACCATTCAGGAAACTGGTTCTCATGCAATGCATGTTAGTATTAAAAAGAGTAAGAACCCCTATTTCTTTCTTGAATAAATTATTAACTAACCTGGATTTTGAATCCCAACTCTTTATTATGACAAGTCCTAACGTTTAAAACCAATTATCTAAACACATAAGGCATCTCAGTGTATTGCTAAACGTGTTTTTAATGCATTATTTAGATATGTTATATATAATTATGTTTAGATGTAAACTATATGTATTCCTAGCTAATAAGATATGATATAAATAAATGCTTAATGGAACTTCAGTGACAAAGTATGCATGTTTATAACGAAATTCCTTATMTTATCAGACGATTATTTAGCCTTTTGGAGGTGGAGGAAAAACTGGGTCGAGTTGGCATTGAAGTGCATTGTGGGACTGTTGACCCAATTTTCCCCTCGTTCGCAAGATGGCGTCATTGACCTCTACTACTACTCTACGACTCCCTTGCACACTTTCTTTTGTTCAGTTAATTAGCACAAATTTAAATAAGTAAGAAAATTCGCGAAGCATCTTGGAAGTGGGAGTCAAACTGATCATGCGAACGACCTATTTTGCTACATCACATGCTACAGCAACGGAGGTGGACACAAAATCCAACACTGTTACTCCTGACCCCAGGAGCGGGTGGTAGCTACGGAAATTATTTAGACGAAACGCGCCTGTTTGTTCATCTTACCAAACTTTATTGCATAACCTTATTATATACAATCAACGAACCACTGTGTTCACACGTTTCGTTGGTGAATGGCGGTTTTCTACATAAATGATAAAKTTCCTAAWTCAGTTGCTTACAAATGCTATAAATTACCAACGATATAAACTTACCGAACTATTTGGGAATTCTAGCTACCAATAAACACAGAAAACAACAAGCCTTCTTTCACTCCATGTGCTTGACCGCTACCTTTTTCTCACATGCCATGTGCTTATCACGTGACGTACCTTACCATTACGTCATAATATACCTATAGTAGCCACACTATTGCAAGATTGGGTGTCTGGGCTTCATCATTACATTGGTGGCGAGAGATTGCATCTTGTCTTGMGACCCCAAAAATGTTGCAAGAAGTGTCTTTGCAACAATTCGTTACCTGCACCAGCAGGTTTACAGTGCTTCTCAATAGCAACTGGCGTGGAATCGTATTTGACYCTTCTTAAGATATATGAGATGCTAAGCTAGCATAAAAATTCAWARGAAATCAAACTTTCTCAATGAAATTTGTGGCAGTTCTTTAACAATTTCCATTGTGGCCTCGCGTTCGAGACAAAATAGGGTATTAATAGGCGTCAATCAAAGTGTTTACATGACATTGAAAAATAAGGTTTTCAAGGGCACCTGCCTATGAAATGTAAACTGCAACAAAATTGTGTTGCAAAATTGTATTGCCTCCCCCGCAGTCGTCGTTCTTAGGCCCTGGCTAAACCAGGAAACATGTTTTCTTAAATGTTTCGTTTTGACAGCCCATCAAAATCCAGCCAATCAGGAAGAAATCTGATCAGTCAGTCCATCGAAAAAAAAAAATGGCGGCCGACGTCAGAAAAAATTACTTTGAATCTTTGCTTCCCTAGCTACGTTATGGACTAGCAATACATTTAAAATTCTACCTATACTTATAACGAATACCTATGGGTCAAATGGTGCATTGTGGTTTCAATTCWGTAATGAAATTATCGTGAAATGGTAGCTCTTTGTTCGCCGATAAACAACTGAAACTAGGACCGCCTGATCAACTACAACAATCCTTTGCGCGCGTTCCCAGGGATCACYTGGAAGCTGTTGATACATTTACGACATGTGAGCAAAGGAAATGTAATGAAATTATAGTGAAATGGTAGCTCTTTGTTCGCCGATAAACAACTGAAACTAGGACMGCCTGATCAACTACAACRATCCTTTGYGCGCGTTCCCMGRGATCACCTGGAAGCYGTTGATACATTTACGACATGTGAGCAAAGGACGCTTGAAATACATAATTTTAAGAACATTGAATGTAAAACAATATTTGATAAAACCAAGCAATTACATTTCCAATTGTAGACTTTATTTGATTTTTGCAAACACTTGCACGCAAAAAAATACAATTCTTAATTACAATAGCCATTAGACACTGCCGTGTATTTTACAAAAAGATATTTCACTATAAAGTGTTTTGTATGACTGTGAAACGGYACTRCACGCTAAAGTCGACTTTCTTTGAACCAATCACAGCGCAAAGATTAGTGTCGTCATCGTTACGGCCATTTTCTTCCCAGTCTCGATTCAAGAGGAAAGTGGGCTCTGGGAACGAGATTGGTCCGTTTCTCGAGTTCACAGTCATACGATTAGAAGACTGGAGAGAGCGTACTGCGCATGCTCGGAAAACAAGCGGGAAAATGGCAGACGCACATTGAAGTCATGGAATATTTGTCAGTAGGTTGATATGGTTCGAATCATGCTGTCGAAATTTCGCCTACTCTAAGAACGAAGCTATTAGAAGGAATATTGTTTCCATTCATTTGTTCGACTAATTTCAATTTTCTGGGTTGAATAAAATGACTTAATTGCGCCTATAAGTATTCTTTTGTTGTGCGTAGTTTTCGAACATGAATAGTACGGTCTTTAAGTTCATCACGGATGTACTCAAATGCTAGAAAAACGTTTTTAAAGATTCACGTTTACAGATTTAGTTTATATAATTAAAATTTTACAAATGAAGAAATCCGGCCTTACGAATATAATTGTCAACCGGATTTCACGATACGAGAGCAAATCACACATATTTCAAAACTTATAGAAGGTATAAAGTGATGACATTTTCAAAAATATTTGAAAAATATTTAATCACATGCTTTGCGCTTCTTTTGGCTCAAGGCGCAAATACACGGAGCAACAGGGTTGCGACACAAGTTGCAAGAGTGTTAACACGGTGCAACGCATGCAAACGTTTCCAAACGTAGAAACAAATTCTACTTTTTTTAAAAAAAGATTACACGCTGCAATGCTCCATGTAACTTGTTTCGCAATGGCGTTGCGACACAAGGTTGCAGAGAAAATTGCTCCATGTAGTCGCGCCTTTAAAAAATATCGATAYAAATTGTTAAGAAGCTCGCGACACACAAAAATACTAATTAAAATATATCATACATTGATTTCTATTTTACAGATTACATTTACAAAACCTGTAAAACTAGAGTCTAATAAATATA